CGCGCCCTACTGGATTCTGATTCTGCGTGGATGGACAAACAATTGCTCATGCGTACGGTACGGCGGATCCAGCAACCCTCTGTCTGTGTGAGTGGCTCCTTGTCCCCTGCGCGCGCTTTGCTGGGTAGCCTGGGATGGCATGATGGCCCAGCTCTTGGCTCAGGTTCAACCTACAGTAGGTCGAGACTCGATCCTGGCCGTGTCAACTTGGGAAAACATATTGCAACGACGCCAAGTCTCCGGCCTGCCGCCTCAGCCCCATTAGTCTCTTTCCCGAGTCCCAGGTAGGCCTCTTCTGTCCCTGGCTCGCCATCGTAGAAACATGTCCTCGCCGAGTACAAGAAGCTGGGGGTTATCCGCAATTGGACGCTGCTGTCCCTCTCTTCTTTCTCTCGTTCAACCCTAAGCCGACTCTCTTTTGGTTTGGGCCTACTACATCACTCGTTCCCCTTGCTGCCTCTTGCCATTGGCGAGAGCCACAACCCGCAACCATGAAGCCTTCTCCGGCGGCTTCGTTCTTGTCGATCTTTCTGCTCTCTCTGACGTCGTGCCGCGCCCAGGAGCTCCAGAAGCGCGCTCTCGTTGCGCCGCCCTCGTTGGACAATGGCTGGACATATCAGGGATGCTACATGTATGGCGTCTTCCTTTCCCCTCTTGGCAAACTTTAGCTTGCATTGCCTACTCGTATGCTGACTGGAGCAAAACAGCGATGTTGGACGTACAATCAGCGACGCGGCCTTTACGGATGATGAAATGACCAACCAGGAGTGCGCTACTTATTGCTTTGAGCATGACTTCCCTTACGCCGGAACAGAGTACTTCACCCAATGCTACTGCGGTTCCACTCTTGCAACGGGAGGTGTAAATACTACTGCTACGGACTGCAATGCTCCATGCGGCGGTAACTCGACTGAGGCGTGTGGTGGTCCCGGCCGTCTTACTTTGTATAAGACAGCTCAAATCACAGGTCCAGAGGTCAACCCGGGCCCCGATGGATGGGTGTCCAAGGGATGCTATTCGTAAGTTTTGCGAGCCCTAAGCATGCAGCTAGCCTCAGCACCGAATCTAATCATGCTAACGCATGCTCGCAGTGAGGGCACCACTGGGCGAGCTTTGACGTTTGGTTATGGTGGCGTTGCCAATGCCCAGATGACCGTGGCCGCCTGTACATCAGGATGTAAGGCTGCTGGATATACCTTTGCTGGTGTCGAGTACGGTGGAGAGTGCTGTAAGTGAGCCCGACGCCCGCCAAGCGGACCACGTCTCGTGTGACGGGGTGTGGTTATTCGTCTTTTATCGTTCCCCTCCAGATAGCTGACCATTGGTAATCCATTCCGACATGCAGATTGCGGCAAGTCAATCTCCAATGGCGCGCTGCCGGCGACAAGCGGCTGCACAATGACCTGCAACGGCAACCAGACCGAGTACTGTGGAGGACCCGGCCACCTGAACATTTATGGCCTCAATGCCGTCCGGTAAGCAAAGCAGAAGCCAGATGATGAAAGAAGCTAGGATGGCGGCGATCCTCTCGTATTGCAGATATGCTAACATGCCTTGTGCAGCGACGGAACTGGCACCACTTCTGCAGCTCAGCCCGCCCAGACTGGTGCCTGTCCTGGCCAACCAGCTGTGGTGAGCAAATACAACTGGTACGGTTGCTATACCGAAGGAACAAACTCGCGGGCCCTCGCTGCCAAGACGTATGCAGATGACGCCATGACCTTGGAGAGCTGTGCGACCTTTTGCGTGGGCTACACATACTTTGGAGTCGAGTACAGCCGAGAATGCTACTGCGGCAACTCCTTTGGCGCCGGCTCCAAGCTCACCACTGCATCCGACTGCAGCATGACTTGCAGTGGTCAGGACTGTGAATTCTGTGGCGCCGGTAACCGATTGTCCGTCTACTCGCTCAATGCTCCCGGCACGGGTACCTCATCGGGGCCCGCCGTACCCCCCTCCACCACTTCAGCTACGACGCAGCCGACTGGATTCCCTCAGGGATGGCAGTCTTATGGATGTTACGTGGACGGGGTCAATGGCCGCATTCTTAACACCCAGCTCCCCGACGATGATGACCTGACCCTCGAGTCTTGTGTCCAGTCCTGCGCCTCTCAAGGATTTACCATTGCCGGTGCTGAGTACTCCAAGCAGTGCTTCTGCGGTAACAACATCGTCAACGGCGGTGCCAAAGCTGCCAACCAAGGCGACTGCAACACTCCTTGCGCCGGTGACGCGACCGAAAACTGCGGCGGCGGCGGCAGAATGAGCATCATTTCCAAGGGGGCCCCGGCGGTCCAACAGCCTCCTGGACCTATCCAGCAAGTCGGTAACTGGACCTACCAAGGCTGCTACGAAGACAATGTCAACCAACAGCGCACTTTCTTCTGGCAGAACATCTTCGCCAACACCATGACCCCTTCGCAGTGCCTGAACCAGTGTGCCGAATTTGGTTACATGGCTGCCGGCTTGGAGTATGGTCAGGAGTGCTACTGCGGCGACCCAGAGAACATCAAGACCTCTGGTGCTACGAAGAGGCCCGAGTCTGAGTGCGGCGTCCCCTGCCCGGGCAATGCCAGCGCCATCTGCGGTGGTGGTTCTCGCCTCACCACTTACTTCTGGACCGGAACACCCTTCTACTCTTGGAGCTTCCCTGCTGCTGGCACTGCCGCTGCTGGTTCCTATGAGCAGCTCATTGGAGGTGTCTGCATCCCCCTGATGACCACCCAGTCCATCACTGGCAAGGTCACCTTCCTTGAGAAATGGGGCACTGGTGAGCCCAACTCTACTGGTGCTTATGAGCTCGACCTGTCTCTCGTCGACCAGTACCAGCTTGCATGGCGAGAGATGCACGTCAAGACCGACATTTTCTGTGCTGGAGGTGTCACTCTTCCCGACAAGGCTGGCCGACAGCTTACTGTCGGAGGATGGTCTGGTGATTCCACCTATGGTGTCCGTCTGTATACCCCCAACGGCTCCCCTGGTGTCAACGGCACCAACGACTGGCAAGAAAACGTCGACATTCTGAAGCTCCAAAACGGCCGCTGGTATCCCACCGCCATGAACATGGCCAATGGCTCCGTGCTCGTCATCGGTGGTGAGACGGGATCTAACAGTGCTCCTGTCCCGACTCTCGAGATTCTCCCTTTTACCGGCACCGCACCGCTCTACATGGATTGGCTGGAGCGTACCGACCCCAACAACTTGTACCCCTTCTGCACTGTCCTTCCTTCTGGTGGCATCTTTGTTGCCTACTGGAACGAGGCTCGTATCCTGGATGAGAACACTTTTGCCACCATCAAGACTCTGCCCAACATTCCTGGTTCAGTTAATGATCCTCTTGGTGGACGAACCTACCCCCTTGAGGGAACCGCTGTCTTGTTGCCCATGCACGCCCCCTTTACTGATCCTCTCAACATTCTCATCTGCGGTGGTTCTACCGAGGGTGCCTCATATGCTATCGATAACTGCGTGAGCACCTACCCCGATGCTGCAAACCCTACCTGGGAGCTTGAGCGCATGCCTTCTCAGCGAGTCATGCCTTGCATTGCTCCTCTTCCCGATGGCACGTACATTATCATGAACGGTGCCCACCACGGTGTTGCTGGATTCGGTCTTGCTACTGACCCCAACCTGAACGCTCTTCTCTACGATCCTCAGAAGCCCCTCGGCTACCGTATTACTGTCATGGCGAACACTACCGTCGCTCGTCTGTACCACTCTGAGGCCATTACTCTCCTGGACGGTCGCGTGCTTGTCTCCGGCTCTGACCCGCAGGATGATGTCAACCCCGAGGAGTACCGTGTCGAGACCTTCACCCCTCCTTACCTGAAGAGCGGCAAGCCTCGCCCATCTTTCACCATCACCAACAAGGACTGGGGCTACGGTAAGCCCATTACCGTCACCCTTGGTGCCGCTGCTCAAAATGGCGCTATCCAGGCCTCTCTGCTTGGTGCCGTCACCAGCACTCACGGCAACTCCATGGGAGCTCGCACTCTCTTCCCTGCCATCTCCTGCACTGGCACCACTTGCACTGTTACTTCTCCCCCATCCAAGTACATTGCGCCTCCGGGATGGTACCAGTTCTACATTCTGGACGGCGGAATCCCCGCCGTTGGTGTATACGTCCGCATTGGCGGCGACCCGGCCCAAGTCGGTAACTGGCCCAAGGGAACTGGTTTCACCACTCCAGGTGTTTAATTTGCTTGTTGGATTGTTTTATTTTTCTTGTTTTGGATATGACGGATATTTTTAAAGCTACTACTCTAATGTAGAAACTTAGTGAAAGGGAAAGCGGGAATTAGGCTTGTCTGTATTGCAAAGGCAACCCATGGTAATAGAATTGGGAACGGGGAAAAAGGGCCACAGAGACAAAACAAGAATAATATACCCCCAAGAACATTACTTTGTCGCTTGTCATGAAGAGTGTCATTCGACGTAAAGCTTTTGCTTTCTTCTATTATTTTTTCCCGGTTTCGTCAAGACGGTAGCTATGAGGTTGATGGGGAGCTTTGTCAGGATAGGTCGTTTTATGAATGAATGAATGCAAATTATCATAATTCTTCTTCAATACTCGTTGATGATGTTGTTTGGCTCTGATGTAAATGAGAAGCTGATAGCAATTGAATATTACAACCATGTTCACATGTTTCCCCTGAATTGTCGTCTATCAGATTCTGTATTGGGGTAATCCTGCATTCCGTACCTGAATTGGGGGCCGCACAAGAATCGGTACCGTTATGCTTATTCCACTTTCTTGTTGCATACCGCAGGCTTCATCAATTCATTTGATGAATTAGTTGGTACAATAGCAAACTATTTTATCATCCAATTACACAAAATTATGATTAAATTAGGCATACACTGCAGCTACAAGTGAGGTAGCAATTGATACCAGATGCCTTGTTGTCGTATCTCGCAGGTCGCGAAGCACGTGACCCGCATGCGATCTTTCTTCGGCCTCCAAATTTCGGCCGACATGGGTAAAATCAACGCCGCTGACAACGAAACTGAGATCGGACTTTTCTCGCCCTCCAACAACCCCTTCGAAGAAAAATAGCCTCAGCGGCCAGTCCCAACGTCCCTTTTCGCGTTCCCGAAACCCATCTCTTCGTCCATCGTCTTCCAAAATGGCTGCCCTCGCAAAGGCCATCAACGCCAAGATCCGGTCCAACCCGATGCTGAGCTATGTCTGCACGACTCGTACGTGTCAACGCTTCGCGAGTTTCTTTGTCTTTCTTTTATCGGAGCCTAAAAAAGGCGCCTGGGTGCGCGGCAGTGAGGGGGGGAGCTATCTTTTGGCGATAAATCGCGCCTAAAATGCTTCTTGCTCGACTTCTTGCCTCTGTCATCCTCAAGGAGCAAGCCCTATCGCCGAGTACCCAGGCGATCTCGAACATGTTGGTTCCCGAGGAAGCCATAAGCTAACACTACTCGGCCAATAGACTTCTGGGGACCTGTATCGAACTTTGGCATTCCCATTGCCGCCGTTTTGGACACTCAGAAGAGCCCTGATCTGTAAGAAAGCTCACCCTGCAGCTTCCGCCGATACCGGCCCGTTTGCTAATCAACTCTCGTTTTCGTCCGTATAGGATCTCCGGACAGATGACCGCCGCGCTTTGCGTTTACTCTGCGACTTTCATGCGATACGCCCTAGCCGTTTCCCCCAAAAACTACCTTTTGTTCGGATGTCACGTCGTCAACTCGGCGGCGCAGCTGACCCAGGGCTACCGATACCTGTCATGGCACAAATGGGGCGGAAAGGAGAATGCTGCGCTGCAAGCTGGTGTTGAGGCTGGCAAGGAGACGGCTCCTCTTAAATAAGCAATATCGGGGAAAAAAGGGAGCTCTGTTTTGAGCAAATGGAACTGAGATAATTAACAGATGGATAGCGTCACGTGGAAGAAGACGTTGTTCGCGGTATGATACCGCAGGGAGGGCCGGGGGTTGATGAGAGGCTAGTTCGAGGAGTTTGCATCTTGAGACTTAGGGGTTTTCAGTGACTTATAGACTCTCTCTTATGTGCTGAAGATTTTGTAGCCGTTGGGGCCATATGCTTGTTTCTCTGGATGCTTTTGTTGAAGATATTTGAGGGCTGAAGGAGGTTGGACAAAAACGGCAAGGCTGGATAATAGAAATGGATCAATGCTTGCAAAGAGCGTGGACGAAGCGTAAAGTGAGATGAACGTCCATTCTTGTAACAACATTGTATATCTATTGGGTAGTTCTAGAGCCAACATGTGATAAACACGTGGTTTTGTGCCTTGCATTACCTGTACTAAGCCATAAGTGGTGGTCAGAGATCGATCCGTGGACGTTTTACAGCTCAAAGTCGGAGACAATCACGGCATCGTTTTGGGGGAGGGCCTTAGGCTGTGTCGTCTGATATCTCCAGGATAGGCAAAAGGTGTGTTGCCCTGGTAGGCATAGTTAGAGTAGGTAGCTGCTTTTGGGGCTTTTGCGTCATGTGGGCCGAATCTACAGGTGACAGGAAGTAAGTGGCTGACATGCTTCGTTTCTGTCTTCTGGAAAAAAGAATTATGATTAGAGGTGGAACATCCCGAGTCCCTATGACGGAAGCAGAGAGTACATTTGGAAAAGTACATAATGGGTGCTTCGCTGCGATTCGGGACTTTCCAGCAGGCTTGCCCGAGGCTATCCTCTTTTAACCGGGGTTAAGAAATCGTGACGAAGGATATTCGCTATGAGGTATTACAATGGGATTGACGTATGATGGAAGTAGGCTATTTGAGGACTTAGCCAATCAAGGTTGGTGGGAATGACGGATGTTTTGGTGGAATGATTCATGTGCTGCTGTTGAGATGAGCATGAGCAGGGCTGGAGATGTGCGTACAGGAGTAATACAGGAGTAATACGGTAGAACGGGGGAACTGGGCCACGTCTCACGAGATGAGAAAAAAAAAAATTATCAACTTGGAATTGCCAGATTGTCCAATGCCATGATCGAGCCAAGAAACCGATTTCGGTGACTGCGAGTTATGAATACTAGTAATTCATGACTTCAGTTCTACGTTACATAGCTACGTTGAAGCTCAATGGAGGATCCGACGTCGGAGAAATTTCGCTCTCTTTTTTTTCCCAAATGGCTATTTTACAATCTTGACTCCGTCCGAAGAGGAATAGTTTAGTACAACAATGGAAATTGCTAAGATGCAAGGGCGGATATGATTGCCATTCGCTCGATGTGTTTCGATTTAGGCGACGGGATTTGTCTTGGGGGGTTGAGATAACCAGGCGCGCTAATCGGCCCTGCTGGCTATCGGCTATGGCTATGATGATGTGCGAGCGGGAGAGGGAGAGAAAAAAATCTTCAACTACAGTGACTAGCTCCCCAAGTTCTGTCACGGCCCAATAAGCCGACTCAGGGCGCCCATTTTACTCACCTCCACCGGCGCTAGATGGCGATATCCAGATGGCTGAAGGGTAGTGCAAAGTCGGCTTCATGCGCCGAACTCGAACTAGAGCGGGGGTGCCTCATTCGTCAGCCCGAGTTGGGGGGAGACGTGAGATGCAACCCGAGATCTATCTAAAAGGGCCCCCTTATTTGCACACGGAGTACATCTGCAAGATGTGCCGCCCATGAAAACTAGATCGGCCCTTGGAAGTTGGAACTACCTGGGAATACGGGGGTCCTGAGATGCGACGGATCCGAAGACGGATCCCCCAGCAAAACACCCTCGGGCCGGCGTTACGATACCAATTACGTTTTACGGGCACTTCCTCCGAGCCGAGCAAGAGGTGTGACCAACAGGATGACACGGCGGCGGCTCAAGCGAAATGCTGGCACAAACGGATGATCATCACGCGGACTGGCGATAAATGATCGGGCTGGGACGAAGTGAAGTCGTGTCGACATTTCCCGAATCTCCCATGCTGAAAGGCATCAGCCGCGTCTAGGCGAGCTTTGCTCGAAAACCAATGGTGCTCTGATCCTCGGCAAAAGCATCAGATGAGAAGAGAAGACGCACGACGGAGAGAGGGGTTGCTCCCAATGGACCAAAGGCAGCGCCGGGATTGGCGAGACGTACAGTAGAGCGTGGGTGGTCATCTCTTGGTTAACGGAGTTCATGCACGAAGATCCAGATCCAAAGTGCTTGCGGTGCGGTAAGCACTTCTAGCTCCGGGCGTGCCAGATACTGTACAGTTACAGCTTGAGAGAGAAGAAGAAAAAAAAAAATCCCCCAAAGACAGAAGACGGACTGCGACAACGGCGGCTGATGCCATGTTGCCTCAACAAGCTCCATCCATCTCAGCAAGCCAGCCCTCTTCTTTCTTGGCTCTCTCGGTGGATACGAATCTGGTTAATGTAGCATCTCGCACCGTCCGCTAGGCCGGGTATTGCGCAGATTTAGTTAACCCAGGACAGCCGCAGAAAAAGAGAGCACAGAGCAATCCCGCTCTGGGGACTGAAGCTTAATATAACAGCGCCAAACTTGTAAGAGGCTGCGTTATCCCGGCGGGCTGATTGGCCAGAGGGAGAGGCTCCGCCCGTTTGAGCTGGAATTTCGTCGAGCTAACGGTGATACAAGTTGGTTTTAGTTGGTAACGATCCAAGCTTAGGGCCCCCATCTGGCGGGAGGAAAATCTGGTATGTAATGGGAATGACTTTCCACTATGGCTTTGGTAGGACATGATAAGATGAGATGGGTGTAAGAAGAGCCAAAACAGAAAGGGAAAAAGAAGAAAAAACCAAGTTACAGAGAGAGAGAAAATTGAAAAGAGCAATTTTCGAGACACACCCTCAATTGCCACATTCAATACTCCCTCTGTATGTAGTTTTTTTTCTCTTGGCTTCGGGTGGGTGCAGAGTTTTGGTTTGACAGACAGCTCCCCCTCATCTCCTATACTGTACGTCTGCTTTCAGCCAAGCCTCTTGGTAAAACAACATGTTAAACATCAAATGTCTGTTCTGCTCCTTGTCTCACCGACAGGTCCATCAGCTGACGAGGCGCCATGGAAAAAGCTGAGACAAGATACTTGCTTGCTTGATCCTTTTGTCCATCCAACGCCGTGCCGTCCATTTTGCTCCAACGCCGTAGCCGCCATATTCCCAGATTTCCTGCCCCCCCTCCTTACACACCTTATACCGCCAATCTTGGCCCAGGTTGAACGAGGCACTACAGCGAATAACGTAAGGACGCATCTGCCCCAGGCCATGTGCTTGCGTGGGCGAGCCAGAGTGGGCGCCCATGGACTAGGTAGGTAGAGAGAGTGTCTGGTCTGTGTCACATCACGTCAGGATGGTTGGCGTCTCAGTTGCTTGCGCTCGGTCCACTCTCGCTCCTGCTCGCGCTGGCTCGGAGATTTTGGCTCTCTTGCCGCGGAGATCAAGATCAATGCTATGTACATGTATTGATTGCAGCGGCAGTGCTCCTCAGTGGTCTTCCTTGTGTGTTCTGTGCTGTTGGATACACATCTCTAGGCTACATAGGGAGAGTCATTTGATGCTTGGATTACCCAGCTTAGCAGCACCTTGATAGCCTCGGCCATCATTTTAGACTTAGTAATGGAACATTCAAGGGAAGCACAGTGCCGAGTGTCCAGTAAAACTTGTTGAGCTCTCCCAACTCCCGCCTGCACCGATGCAATCAGCGTCACAAGCCGCTGAAGCTTTGACTTTCCGGCGCTCGTCGCTCAACTGTGACTCGAGACCCCGCCCCCACTTCAACAGCACTGCAGACCCCGCCAGCCCTTCCAAGTTAAGTTCCTACCCCCAAACCGAAACCAAACCGGCCGAGCTTGTGGCTTCTCAGTCTTAAAAAGCAGCCGATCCGGCCGTTTCCCTCGAGCTATCTTTTTGCTGAGCTGCTCTGTTTTCCCTCTTTTCCCTCTCCTCATATCCTCTTTCTGGGCCAGTATCTCTTGATTTTTTGCTTGCAGCCGACCCTGCCCACCATGGCCGGCACTCCGTCTCCTCACCCTCAGCAGGCGCTGACCTTCAACGATGTCTTCGAGGACGACGACATCGATGAGCCCAAGGAGGCGCAGACCATCCACCACATCCGCGCAAACTCCAGCATCATGCAACTGAAGAAGATTCTCGGTGAGTCGCAGCCTTCAGAGGTGCTCCGCCGGTGCCAATTGGCGTGAGACCGAGCCGACAAGAGACTGTTACTGACTTGTGGCTGCTGCTGCGCTGAATAGTTGCCAACCGTGGTGAAATCCGTAAGTTCAACAACCCCACCATGGCCTGTCGCGTAACTCCTTGCTAACCTAACCCCTCGCGCAGCCATCAGAGTACGTTTGAACCAGAAAAACCAGCTTCGACTCATGATATTTCCTATTCCCATCTGTAGCGACGCATTTCAGTGGTACTAACGCGCATTTGCGCATCGCGAATAGATTTTCAGAACAGTCAGTCGTCCCTCTGTCCGCCGCTGCCGCAAGAAATGCAAATGCTTACCCCTCCTCGCAGGCCCACGAGCTGTCATTACACACAATCGCTGTCTTCAGGTGAATAATGGGAAACCCCGATGAAACAATCTCGATGCCGTCTTGGGACAGGCTAGCTGACTTTTTATTTCCCCCTCCAAAGTTATGAGGACCGACTCTCCATGCACCGTCAGAGTATGATAACCTTTCCTTAGATGTGCCCCGCGCATGATCTGTGCTCTGTACTGACTTATTTTCCCAGAGGCCGATGAAGCCTACGTCATTGGCAAGCGAGGCCAGTACACCCCTGTCGGAGCTTATCTCGCCGGCGACGAGATCATCAAGATTGCCGTTGAGCACGGCGCTCAGCTGGTTCATCCTGGTAAGTTTTTTTCCATGCCTTCCTTCTAATTTTTTTAAAGAATATTTTGGTGCTAATATCATTCAGGATACGGTTTCCTGTCCGAGAACGCTACATTTGCCCGCAACGTCGAAAAGGCCGGTCTTATTGTAAGTCTTTGGCCTGCATCCTATATCTACTCCAACCTCTTCGAGCCATTCTATTTTCTTCGACCTCCAGCTGACTCTGATGCCCATTATAGTTTGTTGGCCCTACTCCCGATGTCATTGATGCTCTTGGCGACAAGGTCTCTGCCCGCAAGCTTGCCATCGCTGCTGGTGTCCCCGTCGTCCCCGGCACTGAGGGTGCCGTTGAGAAGTACGAGGAAGTCAAGACCTTTACTGACAAGTATGGCTTCCCCATCATCATCAAGGCTGCCTACGGTGGTGGTGGCCGTGGTATGCGAGTTGTTCGCGATGCCGAGAGCCTGAAGGAGAGCTTCGAGCGAGCCACTTCCGAGGCCAAGACCGCCTTTGGCAATGGCACCGTCTTCGTCGAGCGATTCCTCGACAAGCCAAAGCACATTGAGGTCCAGCTGCTCGGTGACAACCACGGCAACATTGTCCACCTGTACGAGCGTGACTGCTCCGTTCAGCGTCGACACCAAAAGGTCGTCGAAATTGCTCCTGCCAAGGATCTTCCCTCCGAGGTCCGAGACGCTATCCTCAACGATGCCGTTAGACTGGCTAAGTCTGTCAACTACCGCAATGCAGGCACTGCAGAGTTTTTGGTCGACCAGCTGAACCGCTACTACTTCATCGAGATCAACCCCCGTATTCAGGTCGAGCACACCATTACTGAGGAAATCACCGGCATTGACATTGTCGCTGCCCAGATCCAGATCGCTGCTGGTGCTACTCTCTCTCAGCTCGGCCTTACCCAGGACCGAATCTCCACTCGTGGTTTTGCCATCCAGTGCCGTATCACCACCGAAGATCCCGCAGAGAACTTCCGACCAGACACAGGAAAGATTGAGGTCTACCGATCTGCTGGTGGTAACGGTGTTCGTCTTGACGGTGGCAATGGCTTTGCTGGTGCCGTCATCACTCCTCACTACGACTCCATGTTGGTCAAGTGCACAGCCCACGGAAGCACTTACGAAATTGCTCGCAGAAAAGTCCTCCGTGCCCTCATTGAGTTCCGTATCCGAGGTGTCAAGACCAACATCCCCTTCCTGGCCTCTCTTCTGACACACCCTACCTTTATTGATGGAAACTGCTGGACAACTTTCATCGACGATACCCCGCAGCTGTTCGACCTCGTAGGTGGCCAGAACCGTGCACAGAAGCTGTTGGCTTACCTCGGAGATGTTGCCGTCAACGGCAGCTCTATCATGGGCCAGATTGGTGAGCCCAAATTCAAGGGCGAGATCATCACTCCTGAGCTCTTCACTGCCTCCGGCGAGAAGATTGACGTCAGCCAGCCTTCCCAGAAGGGTTGGAGGAAAATCATCCTTGAGCAAGGCCCCAAGGCCTTTGCCAAGGCCGTTCGCGAGTACAAGGGCTGCCTTCTCATGGACACCACATGGCGAGATGCCCACCAGTCTCTGCTGGCTACCCGTGTCCGAACTATTGATCTCCTCGGCATTGCCAAGGAAACTAGCCACGCACTTGCCAACCTCTACAGTTTGGAGTGCTGGGGTGGTGCCACCTTTGACGTTGCTCTGAGATTCCTCCACGAGGATTCATTCGACCGTCTGCGCAAGATGCGAGAGCTGGTCCCCAACATCCCCTTCCAGATGCTTCTTCGTGGAGCCAACGGTGTGGCCTACTCTTCCTTGCCCGACAACGCCATTGAGCACTTCGTCGAGCAGGCCAAGAAGAATGGTGTCGACATTTTCAGAGTCTTTGATGCCTTGAACGACATCACCCAGCTCGAAGTCGGCATCAAGGCCGTTCACAAGGCTGGCGGTGTTGTTGAAGGTACTGTTTGTATCTCTGGTGATATGCTCAACCCCACCAAGAAGTACAACTTGGCCTACTACATGGACCTTGTCGAGAAGCTTGTTGCCCTCGATATCCACGTTCTTGGTATCAAGGATATGGCCGGTGTGCTGAAGCCCCACGCTGCCGAACTCCTGATTGGAGGCATCCGCAAGAAGTACCCTGACTTGCCAATTCACGTTCACACCCACGACTCTGCTGGAACGGGTGTTGCCTCCATGGTTGCTTGCGCCAAGGCTGGTGCCGATGCTGTCGATGCCGCCACCGACAGCTTGTCTGGAATGACCTCCCAGCCTAGCATCAACGCCATCCTCGCCTCTCTGGAGGGTAGCGACCTTGACCCCGGTCTGGACCCCAAGCAAGTCCGCGCTCTTGACACCTACTGGTCTCAGCTGCGTCTGCTCTACTCTCCCTTCGAGGCCCATCTCGCTGGACCCGATCCCGAGGTTTACGAGCACGAGATTCCTGGTGGTCAGCTGACCAACATGATGTTCCAGGCTTCGCAGCTTGGTCTCGGATCCCAGTGGCTTGAGACCAAGAAGGCCTATGAGCATGCCAACGACTTGCTTGGCGACATTGTCAAGGTTACCCCTACCTCCAAGGTTGTTGGTGATCTTGCCCAGTTCATGGTGTCCAACAAGCTGTCTCCCGAGGACGTCAAGGCTCGTGCCTCTGAGCTTGACTTCCCTGGCTCGGTGCTTGAATTTTTTGAGGGTCTGATGGGCCAACCCTACGGTGGCTTCCCCGAGCCTCTCCGCACAGACGCCCTTCGCGGACGCCGGAAGTTGGAGAAGCGTCCTGGTCTCTACCTCGAGCCCATCGACTTTGTCAAGGTCAAGCGCGAGATGGGCAAGAAATTCGGTGCGCCCGTCACCGAGTGCGACATTGCCTCGTACGTCATGTACCCCAAGGTCTTTGAGGACTACAAGAAGATTACGGCCGAGTTTGGCGACCTGTCAGTTGTGCCAACTCGATACTTCCTTTCTCGACCTGAGATTGGAGAAGAGTTCAACGTGGAACTCGAGAAGGGCAAGGTCCTCATTCTTAAGCTTCTTGCCATCGGTCCTCTGAGCGAGCAGACTGGTCTCCGCGAGGTCTTCTTTGAGATGAACGGCGAGGTCCGACAGGTTACTGTCGCTGACAAGCAGGCTGCTGTTGAGAACATTAGCCGCCCCAAGGCTGATCCTGGTGACTCTAGTCAGGTCGGTGCCCCGATGTCCGGTGTCTTGGTCGAGCTTCGTGTTCACGAAGGCTCCGAAGTCAAGAAGGGTGACCCTCTTGCTGTTCTGTCAGCCATGAAGATGGTACGATTCCTCCTTTCCCTTTTTTATTTACATGAAAGCATGTTGCTAACAGTGATGATAGGAAATGGTTATCTCAGCACCCCATAGCGGAAAGGTTGCCAGTCTGCAGGTCAAGGAGGGCGACTCCGTGGATGGCTCAGACTTGGTGTGCAGAATCACAAAGTCCTAAGTTTGTTACAAAAATGCAGGTAGAAGGGTTGTCTGAAATTCTATGGTGCTTCTTAACGGGATGTTTGGACCGGGCAAACAGGTAAAAAGCAAAATACTTCCCTAGGGATTAGCACAACTGGCGTGTGGTGGAGAAGAAATTTGTTATCAGCATTGTTATTCAGTATGACTATACAAGATATGAAATAAAGTTCAGTTAAATCATTTGGCTCTCCAATATTTCCCTAGCAAAAGAAGATGTGTCGTACTTGGCCAGACGTCAAATAACAGAGGTGATGAAGCAACATATGATAGCAAAGAACATAAAGAAAAGGGACACAAGTATAGTGAGGAGAGAGCTTAGATTGTTCGTCTCTTGCAATAAAGCCCATCTATAGCTCTCCACTTGCTGCGCCTCTTGAAGATGAAGAATTCGGGATCGTCCTACGATATGGACGGTAAGGACAACACAGGATGACGCGGTGACTCGATGGCGATGGGCGGCGATGCGTTGAATCTTGGGCAATGTTTGCAATGGGGAGACAAACTAGTAAGTAATACGGGGACTGTATGGCTGGACGATGGCCCGGTTGATATGGCATGACGTGAGCGGCATATGATAGAGTAGAAGTGGTGGAGGGGAAAGGAAAAGGTCTCTCGTGGGCGAAGGCTTGACGTATTGTGGGTGAAGAATATGGGGTCTCTGGGTATGGAGTAGACTGCCGAGAGGTGGGATGTTGAGGCACTGGCGATGACGAAATTGAGTTACGCTTCTTCTTGGTAGGGAGGAGAGTGTCGAGATGGTAGTGTTGGTCGTTTGCGAGGGAGCGCTCTTGGAAGGATTTCCATGCGCGAGAGGTTCTTTGTAGGATTTGGGAGGAGAGGGAGTTTAGTTTTGAGAGGGGGGTTGGTGGAGTTTGTTGGTGAGGTGGGTTGGGGACGTTGTTTGGGATTTGTCTATGATGATGTCTTGGTTGGGAGATGTTTGGTACGATAACTGGATGGGTGGGCATGTTTGCGGGTTGGGTGATGGGGATTTTGGAGGAGGGGAGGTTTATGGTTATGGTAGCTTTTCAGTCTGTTGGGATGGATTTTGTTATTGGGCTATGTGTATGTGTTTAAGATTTAGGATGTGGAAAATGGAGATTATGATTTGGTTATTTGAAGGGCTCTTGTGTTTGGCTGTTTGAGGTGAAGGTTTAGAGGAGAGCAAAGGTTGGAGAGCAAAGGTTGTCTATTTGTAGTTGATGCAAAATGTTGTATTCACTCTACGTAGAGGTAAGGTATTGAATGGAGGGCTTAGGTAGTAGATTGCAGAGGTCATCATGAGAGGTTGAAGCAAGGACGTGGAGTTTAGTGAAGTTGGTCCTTGATTCTCTCGTGGTGTTATATTACATGCAGCGCAAACTTCTCTTTACTCACCGTCTTCATCTGCTCAACTTATCTGGTGGGATTGATATGAACGCCCTCACGCACTTTCATCAACTTGGGTCTTATGAACTTGGATAAGTATTCGCGTTGGCCAATTGACATGAAGCAAAAGAGTTGTTTGAGGAATAATGCTGGCCAACACCTTTGGTTATACAGCATCCTAGTGACTGCTACTTATCTGGTTTGTCAAAAAGCCCCGATTTTTACCATCACTATTGTTACTTTCTTCTACTACCTTTACTTCTTCTACTACCTCTACATTCTTCCTTTTTTCTACTATGTCTACTTTCTTCTACCTTCTCTATTATCTCTACTTTCTCTTGTGACGATTTTTCTTGCGACAAGGCTTCTGAGTTGACTTGAGGCCGAATCAATGGACGGGAGGGAATTACTAAGGTAGGCAGCACCCTAGTACGTTAATACATGTACTCGGTTCTTGAGGTTTCCGCTACTATCCATGGATCGCTATTTTTTCTTTAATACCTGCCCTCATTATTAGTACAATTTTTTAGTATCTGCTACTATAGTTATATTTTTCTAGTATCTGCTCTTTAGCTATATTTCTCTGGTTTCTAAGACTAACCCTTACTATTTGATAAGGTAGCTTCAATCGGAGACATGGGATGCTGGGTAGAGACTTGGGCTACTGGGTAGTATTTTCTTAATAAACGGCGCATTGAGACCTGATTTGATTACTCCCACAGATATACGTACTTTCTGTTGTAGTTACCTATGAACTATTGGGCCAGTCATAAAGTGTTAACCCTGGCTCGTATGTTAGGCTATTGGGCTACTGATAGAGTACTGTATAGAGTATTGCTGCCCAGAGTTCATGTATTGCTGCCTGTCCGAATAGCAAAAACGTACCGCTACGGCAGCAATATTCATTATATAACTTTTCTTTATACGGCATCTTTAATTCACGGTTATTTTCTTTTTTAATTGATAGTCTCTTAAACTTTTAGCATCTGTTATATACTTCAATCCCCTCTCGTACTTAGGACTAGTATGGCCAATTTCACGCATTCGGTGATTACGGGGAACAGTATTGGGCATAATTCAAACATCCACCAAGGCGACACCATCATCAATGTCCCTCAGGGCAATTTGCAGATCTCCTGTTTGTATTCCATTACACTTTAGGACCCCAATGTTTGTCTTGTTAACTTTCAAATAGCCTATCCTGGAACAGGACAACTGAACCTTGAATACGTTCCCGCCAGCTTCGACGATGCGAGCAAACAGCATCTTTCCATGTGCCTTCCACATACACGAGAGCAGATACTCAGTGACATTCGGGCATGGATTGATGGCAATAGCGAAAAGGGCATTTATTGGCTCAACGGCATGGCTGGTACAGGGAAAACCACCATCTCCCTAACAATCGCTCACGAATATCATCAAAAGAAGCGACTGGGAGCAAGCTTCTTTTTTTCCAGAGGTGGCGGTGACCTCGCATCAGCGAAGAAGTTTGCGGCTACTATATCCGTTCAGCTTGCAGAGCAGTCTCCAGAATTACGACAGCTTATTTTGAATGCCGCAACATTGAACCCTCGAATCGGTCACCTCAATCTATACAACCAGTGGGAGAAGCTTGTCCTGGAGCCCTTAGGCTTATTGGAGTCGAACTCCGTCCAGCAGCCTCTTCTTATTGTGGTCGATGCCCTTGACGAATGTGATGATGAAAAAGATATTGGAACGTTAATCGAGTGCTTTGCTAGCACTATTGCGAATGTCAAAGAGATACCAATCCGAATATTTATTACAAGCAGACCGGAACTTCCAATCCATCTTACATTAAGTCGCGTATCTATTAATTTACGTCAACACTTTGCCCTTCACAGCATTGAACAAGCTATTGTGGATGGCGATTTAAGGATATACTATCAGTATCACCTAACGCAATTATCACAGCGGTATGTGTGGGACAAACGCATTATACTTGATAATGCTATTCGGACTCTTGTCGAAAAAACTCATGGATTGTTTATCTATGCCGCTACAGCCTGTCGGTTCATCAAAGAAGGAGGTATAAACTCAGAAAAACGGATGTTGAGTCTTTCTGCTCCTGGACCTTCTGCCTCTGAAGCAGAAAAAGAGCTTGACGGCATTTACACCACAGTGTTGGAAACTTCGTTCAGGACGGAATTATCTTCTAAGGAAGCTATAGAACTACAGCCTGAGTTTCAGAAGATTGTTGGGTCCGTCATGGTGCTATTTGATACGTTGGCCTTAACCGACCTCGTTGATGTTATCAATGGGGAAAAAGAAAGAGTTGAGTCAATGATCAACAATCTTAGATCTGTCCTAGATATCTCAGAGGACGAGAGACGCCATATTAGCATCCTCCACCCCTCTTTCAGAGATTTCCTCCTCAACCCTGGAAGATGTTCTCACAATACATTTAAAATTCCCGCCAAACAGTTGCATTATGATCTGTTCGAACGCTGTTTGGCAATCATGCATGGTTCTTTACCAAAAAATATTTGCAAACTCAGAAGTCCAGCTGCCAAGGCACGAGATATTACCAAAGATCAAGTGGACACATGCATTTCATTCCCGATTCAGTATGCTTGCAGATACTGGATACAACATCTTCAGAGCAGTGGGCGAAACTGGATGAATCATGGAGGCATGAAGGATTTCTTCTGGACAGACTTTCTCGGCTGGCTAGAGGTTCTTTCTCTACTAGGTCGGCTATCTGAAGGAATAAATCTATTAGCAGGGCTCCAGTCTTGGCTACACGACACATCAAAGAAGAAGAACTTCCAGCTAAGCCTTCAAAGTCAATGGAAGAAGATAAACTTGTTTCCAAAGAGTAAAGCCTCCGACGCGGTTAATACCAACCATGCGAGCGATACTTCTCAGAGCCTTGGTATGCTTATACACGATGCCAAGCGATTTGCCTTTCAGCACAGTGGTATTATTGAAGAGACTCCGCTACAAATATATTGTTCAGCATTAATATTTAGCCCTGAGCAAAGCCTCATCCGTCAACTCTACCATACTGAAATTCCAAGCTGGATTATTCCTTCCTTTAAAAGGCACAGCACATGGCCCAGATATACGCAGGCCTTGTGGCACCCACAACCAGTCTGGTCACTTGCATTCTCGCCCGATGGCAGTTACTTAGCATCCGGATATCACGACGGAGCTATTTGGCTCTGGGACGCTGTAACAGGTGCAAAGCAGCGCATGCTTGAGGGGCATGGGAGTGGAGTTAGGTCGATTGATTTTTCTCCCAAAGAGGAGCTCATAGCCTCCGGGTCAGAAGATAGCACGATTCGGTTATGGAACTCTACGACTGGCGCAACTCGGGGCATCTTGACACTTGGCATAGATATTATTTTCCAGGTTGCGTTTTCACCAGATGGTGCCTCACTCGCATCATTCTCTACAGATTCAAACCACTACACAGTATGCATGTGGAATATCGCGAGCCATGCAAAGCAATGGACATTTAAGTACGATGATGGACGCGTGCATATCTCATTCTTATCTGATGGTACGCATGTTGCCTACAGCAGCAGCTCCGTGACCGGCCTCTTAGACTCCAATACAGGAAAATCTGTGTGCATTCTGGCTGAATATGGAGGGAAGATTTGTTCATCTAGACTTGCTTCCAGCAGACAGATGGTAGGAGTGAGAACATACACTCAAATTATGCTCTTTGACATTCAACCGAGTGCAAGACGGCGGTGGCAGTCTAAGTCTGAGCTTGACTATCACATCAAATTGATAACTTTTTCGCCTGACGATCGGGTCCTCGCTGCACATGTTAAGGGCCGCATCGAACTACTCGATACTACATCTGGCCATAAAACGCATACCATAAGCTGCGACACATATATGGAAGAATTTGCATTCTCGGCAGATGGAACATTCATCGCATCATTTTCGTACGAAAATAAGATCCGGTTCTGGGACTTGTCTGTGGGCAGGCAGCAGTCCGCCACCGATTTCGACTTTTTGGAGTGGTATATCACTATAAAATCTAGTTGCGCCAGATTTGTTGCATTGTTGACAAAGCCCTCCAAACGAATTACAGGCCTCTATGAAAGTCAGTTGTTCATCTGGGATGCTCAAGAGATGATGATGAAAAAGAATTTTCGTGTCACAGGAAAAGCAAAAATTCTAAGCATGACATTCTCGCCCAATTCTCAATTTATAGCAATCTGCTGGCATAATAATGTCGTTGACTTGTTCGAATGGGAGTCGGGAGAAAACATCCTCACAAACATCGAGGCGAATAATATTATTGTATATATTGAGGTCAGCAGATTTTCCCCTGACGGCAATTTCCTTGCCATATACACTCCCCACCATGATACGCAAATTTGGGATATACGACGAAGAACCGTCGTCCACAAGTTCCAGTCAAGATATTCAAAGGTGGCATTTTCGCAGGATTCAAAGCGCATTGTATATCTATTGACAAGCGAGAAACTATCCATGTTCGATCTCGGGACATGCGATCACTTGGCTCAAATCGAGGTAGGTATGGGAAGATTGTGTCATTGGAGCTTTGACTCGAATAATCGGCTTGTTCTATTTTACTCTGCGAGCTCAAGCGGTCCCTCTCAAAGACAGCTCAGGGGTGCTCATACGGAGTTAATCTCCCGTGTCATCCAACTACCCTCTTCTATCTCTCTTCTCAAACCAGTCCCAGCTACCAACATCGTTATCACAAGATGGGATGGCAGATGTGAGATCTGGGATTTGACAACTGGCACGGTGATGGGAAGTTTTGAGAATGCTGGAGAACTAGCATATAGCCAATTGCTTCCTTGTAAAGCTCACTTGCGAATAGATGAGGCTATAGTACCAGTTTCGAAGCCAGACTCATTGGGCTGCTGTTCTCACAGACTATCGCTCGAGAGTCTTTGGATCAAGCGCGGCAACGACAAGTTGGTGTACATACCTCCTGAATACGCATCTGCTCTCATCACTGTGGGGTGCAAGGGTGTTTTATTTCAGCCATTTAAAGAAAGCAGGTGGAATATTTTCCGTTCCAATTCGGAACCTATCAATACTTTGGAATTTGACTTTTCCGGGATTGAAGACAGGTATATCTAATGCTGCGCGGACTTTGTCCAGGGAAGGTTGAATAGAAGAAGATACGTCACTAGGTACTTGATGATTTCTCTCATTCTACCTACCTTAGTACCTAGTAGTGCCTACTACCTAGGTAGGTAGTATAGTAGTGTCTTGAATTCTCGCCGTGTGGCTTCTTATGCTAATGTCAGCTAGCACAAAACATCCGATCGGACGCCGCACAGGAAAGTCAAGATGCAGTGAATGAAAATGAAGAACCGGTTTATGCAAAGAAAATGAGACCATGTACCAACAAGTAACCTTGGAAGTAGTACTAATGCAGCATGCAGGCATATCTTGGTTCGTGAGGGGGAAGCTCGAACGTTGTTCGACCGGACCGGATAAATGGACGGCGCAACTTGTACCAGCTTGGTAGCAGCAGTACTAAGAAGCTACTAGGTACTTTCTCCGCGTCGGCCGTCAGTTGTAGCGCCCGGGTGGATGGGATGGATTTGATGGGAAAACGGAAGAAATGGAAGATGCGCGCGCAAAACAAGTCGAGCCATCAAATGTTAATGCAGATACAATAGCCTATCAGCTGAGGTTTGCATAACGGTTCAAATCATCTCGTGTGTTATCTTCATGTTGTCTTTATGTACATGGCAGGGCAGCGGTTCGTATTTCTGTACAGTACAGTACAGGTACCGGCAGGTGGTCTCGTGCTCTCAAGTACTTCCATACTTCCGCCATCAGCACCAGCATCAGCATCAGCATCATATCAAAGCGGAACGGAGGGATTATCCCGCCATGCCCGTACATGCAAGGGCCCCTGAAACTTTGCCCGTTATCGGTCAGACTTTTCGCTGTCGTTGAGAAGTAGATTACGAGTTACAGTACGAAGCAGGAGTACAAAGTATAACAGGCAGAAAGATTCCCGCGTTTGGTGTCTAAGCTCCCTGCCGATTGATCCATCCTTGCGCTTCCCCGTAAGCTGGGGCTAGTAGTAACCCTGCCAATTCATAGGACGGCAGCTGAAGAGATCGGGCCTATGGAAGGAAAGGGAAGCAAGGGGGAAAAGCTTGCAGAAACTGGGCGCAGTACAATGATTGGAGGTGCCTGATGGATATGTATAGTAGATAGCTGATAAGGAGTTGAAACTAAAACTAAAAGAAACATGTACGAGGTTTGCATCTGATCTCAGTTTGAACTTGAAACCTTGAATACGGAAGATGCCATGCCCACGCGGGATTTGTGGAGCCCTGGAGACGAGCTTTTAGCGGGCTGCAACAGCGCTGGGGAGCCCCCGCAAAAACACTCAGCGAGCCTCCAGTTTCCAGTTTTTGCGTCGTAGCGCCGCAGAGTTTGATGAATTCGGTGGCAATCTGCCGGATCCCCGCTTCCAGGCTTCTGCTTTCAGCACCTCTTGGCTCCTCTGTGTCTTGACTTTTTTCGGCCATTTTGGCTTCTTCCTCTCCTCCTCTTCCTTGATTTCTTCTTTCTCCCTCATTCATCCTCGCTTCTTCCACCTTCCTCAACAACACCGCTCCTATCGGCTTTCCCTCCAGCCCAGTCGCAGATTTTGCACCTCGTCCACGCTCAGTTTTTGAACCTTCACAGCTACTCCCGGCCGCACACGCGATCTTACTCGTTTATGCGCCTGCTAGGAGGAACTCCAGTTTCCAAACTCGCCGACCGCTGCGCTCCATACTAGATCCCTCCCGCCGAGACAGAAACAGAATTATAGAACACAAGAGAGGGAACTACTATCAAGATGGAGAGCCTGCAGCTGTCCCAGGTCCTCGCCGACTTGAGCAATCTCGGCGCAGCTGTATGTCTTACTTGCCATTGGCTTACCTCTTCCCAAACACCGCCCGCATAAGAACCTTTCCTTTTTTTTCCCCTATTTTTACCGTTTCTGACTGTTGTTGTTTCAACGATAGGAACCTGCGGCCGCAGCCGCCATTGTCAACGCCAACCTCCCCGTCATCCAAACCGAACTCATTAAAGACGACGCCCATGCATCTTCTCAACAGCAGTCGAGGCCATCGTCCGGCCTGAGGCGCGCATGGTCATCCGAAGCTGCTATGCAACCCAAATTCGACAAGATGGGGCGCCGCATTCTCATCAGCTCCCCCAAATCGGGATCTGCCGCCAATTCCACCCCCGGCACTCCTCAACCCTCTACTGTAAGATGCGCCACCTTTTGCTTGAGAATAGGAGAGAAAAAGTTCACAACTAGAGTTTTCCCCAATCTACTTGCAATGTATAACTAACCGAAGCTTGCTCTTCCTTTAGTACGATGACGATCTCGAGCGAGCTAATACCCTCATGGCTCTATACGACATCCGCGCCAAGCTCAAGCAGCAGGACAACAGCAGCCTCATGCGAGCGCGCGAAAAGATTAACGCTTTGGCTCAGAGGCAACAGGCCCAACAATTCGCCGAGCTCAATATGAAAAAGGCCGAAGAGATGCGACGAAACCGATATTCCTTCCCAAAAGTATAAAATACTACGCTTTCGGCGCTTTCTTTTCGCCTCGTTTTGGTTTGCACACATAGCATAGCGCAAACCGTAAAAGCTGGCGCGGCCAAACGAAGGGTCCTTGAGTTTCCATATGGTACTCATTTTGAAACCCTTTCTCTTTTGATCGAAAAACAAGGCGACAAAAGTAAATAATGATACACGTTTCTTAACCAACACGACCTACGACCTACGACCTAAAATTATACGTTATTCTCAACGATGAACAAGCAAGTCAATTTTGTACCGGTGGCGAACTGGGATATGGTTGACTTTGGAAGACGGGTTTTACTTCTTATACCCTCCTTTTTTGGTATTTTTGGATGATATTCTTGGGTTTTTGAGTACACGGCAAAAGGACGGTTTACCTGGCAGCCACTCTCCTTTACACAAGCGGAATCAAGCACGGAGTCTTGGGAGAAAAGGCGTCTCTGTCTGTCATGATCGCGCGCAAAGCCGACTATTGGTTTCTATATGCTTATTTTCTTTCTTTCTGTTTTTGTTTTCTTTCATTCATTTCTTTCTTTTCTTGAGAGAATGACGGAATGACCCTCTATTTGGTGGCATTTCTCACCTGGCGTGCGAAACGAGCACATTTGGAGCTCTTGTACGATATAAAACAACTAATACAACGGCATACTATCTCTAGCATTGAATCAACAAGCAAGGTCGTGAATGTTACTTGAATGGCAGAATTGAGCATTATTAACCCATCAGAGCCCCGGGCTACCCCGCGTCGATTGATTCATCGGACAGTCTTGAGCCCGAAAAATCCGGACGGATGCAGCGGCATCAGACGAGGTGGGTTTGGAACATGTGCAGCGATGGCAGCGTGTGCCTCAAAAGACGCCCTTGGTTTTCTAATAAGTTCGGGGGGTGACTCTTGGCCTGAAAATCGGATCGGAAAAGAAGAATACAGAGGACAGGAACGTAGGCAAGGCGAACCTGTCAAAGAATGGACGACTACGATTTCCTAATTCGATTCTTTGACAAAGGAAAAGTGCTCTCTTTGGCAGAGCTGGGATTTGTACAGAAACAGGAGTCGGCACATTCCTATTTCAACAATTACCATACGAATAGGGCATGATCCGGGCTAGGCAGAACATAGCAGTCAGATGATGAAGGCTGAGTGCTGCTCAATTTGATAAGAGGAGGCTGGGCTATGATGTAGATGGATATATTATGTCAAAGACGAAAACAGCTTGGTGTTGATGGCTTGATAGAATGCGCCGTTTCCTGTGCCTGGCGGCATTGTGCTAGTACCTGATAAATAGGAAAGAGGCGTATTTGAACGATGAGCCTCTCAAGCTCTACAGTATACACAACAGACCAAAAGACGACAATGACCTGAGCACAGCAAAGCAAAGCTGAGCAGAGGCGTGTTGGCGTATCCCTTTGAGTGCGAGAAGGTGCAGCCTAAGTACTCATGTCCACTTTTCTTATTAATCGGGAAGAAATACTCAAAATCTGGCTGCTTGATTGGTCACAGCTGAAAAGATACTTCGCTCGCACCTTCTCGCACTCAAAGGGATACGGGCATGGCCGGGAAGGGCTCCTTGGCGGCATGGCTTAGGACGTACGCCAGGAATCAGAGTGCGTCATAAGCCGGGGTCGATGATATAATCACAACGAAGCCATACCATTGATCGGTCGCAGGCTTTAAGGTTCCGGCTGGCGATGGGTTTTTATGGAGCAGCCTCGTTTGCGAAACGAAAAAAGCTGCCAGAAGCGATGGAGTGGAATTACGGAGTATATTTGCAACCGATGCTGGTTGATGGAGCTCTGGATAAAACGGATCAAGATGGAGAACCAGGCAGAGCAGATGCAGCGAATATTTGTCATTACATGCAGGGCTTAGCTTCCGACGTCAGATTCAGTAGAGTACGAGTAGAGTAGAGTAGAATGCACATGCTCTCTGCTCTTTTCTTTCTAGAACCCTTACAGTAGAGTAGACTAGCATTCTGGTCGTATTCCCTATGCGGGTATTCCATGCGATTGCGTTTGAACAGCGCCACCCGAAGTGCTGGAGCCTTGGCCCGCTGGATGGGGGGCACTGGGGAGAGCTGTTTTCGCTGATGGTGATTGGCTGAGATGGAGAAGAAGTGGTTCTGCACAGCCACCCCACGCGGAGTCGGACAAGAAAATAAGTTGGAGAGAATGTCAAGAACTGGCAGCTTTCATCCTTATCAACGGTTCTACGGAGTACTGTACATACACACTAACGGGTGCCGAGGCGAAAGTAGTGCGCTGTCAAAAATCTGGCAGCGTCGGAGCGTTTGTTGCCGGATGCCGTTGGTGGATATGTGTTTTGAAGTTGGGTTGCACGATCGGATGCTTTTTTCTTTGAGCCAAGCTCGTGTTTGCAGGCCGCTTGTGCGCTGTGGCTGGTGTGCCGGTGGTGTGAGATGCTTTCCATTTCTCGAGGGCAGTACGGAGTACCGGTACTTACTTTGCGATGGTTGTATGTTTGCAGCTTTTGCTGGACTGGATGGATGGATGATCAAACAAAGGAGCAGCAACGGGTAACTCACTTGATGTGTAATACTGTCATACTCTAGACATGGACCCTTGGCAGCTCCTCTGTCCATCACCCGTCACGCTGCGACAGAAGCACCCTCAGAATAAGCACGCTAAGAGGGTCTGGCATCAATGCGGCGGGCAGTGCTGTAACTTGTTACTTGTCCCAGTGATGTGATCACTCCCAGTGGCGGGCTGGTGCGGTGGCACTGCTGCTGGTACTTGGAGCAATCCAAAAGTCCGAACGCAAGCGCAAGGATTTTAATTCCATATTCCAATGCCTTCCATTGCGATAAAATACGCTCGGCCCATTGTATATAATGCGACGGGATTTCTTTCCTTTTTTTCTTCTATTCCTTCTCGCCCTTTTAGACTCCACTGCTTACACTTAACTCTTACCTTACAACAAACCTCGTACTTGTACTTTACTCGCTCAACCTAAAATAAAATAAAAGAGGGGAACTGGCGCCGGGCTTCTGATTCACAGGGATTCCGCAACGTCATACAAGCCAAGTCACAGCTTTGTTGCGGCTGCACCACGCACCAAAAGCTTGGCCCCGAAAGTAAGACAAAAAGGACAGGACACGCGCAACGCAACGCAAGCCAACGAATTTTTAAACTCTCCTGCCATCCCTCGAAAACCCAAAACCTAACCGCTCATACACGTAACCTTGTTTTTATCTCTCTTTCTCCTCCTTTCGCATCATCCATCGTCGGCTTCTTTCTATCAACTCATCGGAAAAGAATAGCGATCGCCTCTCTCTCTCTCCTCCTACTTTAGTACCTACGAGTACTACATTCTGCAGACATGGCCCCGACAATGGTGGACCTTTTCGCGCGAGATGACGGCTGTGGATATGGCTACTTCTTTGATGGAATCGGCTGTCGGCGCAAGAGTGGGTGGTACTTTTGGGGCAGATGGGTGCTCGCTGGCATCGCCATCGTTTTCGCATTGATTCTCTTGTTCTGTTGCTTGTAAGTTGATTCCCCTTTGTTTCCTTTCATCATTACCTCTTTCTCTTTTCCTCCCTTAATTTATTTTTTTCTCGCCCCTATCCGTTTTCGCATATTTTGTACTAATCGCCGTCATCGCAGGTGCATTTCAAGACGCAATCGCAGACGTGGTGTGACGCCCGTGTACGGCACCGGCTGGTTGGGTGGCGCCCCAGCTCAGGGAAGTCGGCCCCATGGCAACAACAAGCACAACAACAACAACAACGGCTACGAGATGAACAATTACCAGTCTGGATACACTCAGGGCGGCTACACCCAGCAGCAGCCTCCCTACGGCGAAGGATACGGATATACTAGCCCTCCGCCGTATGGTCAGGCACCTGTGGGCAATCAGCAGACAGGCACAACGTTCCATACCAATGATGGATACATGACCGGCCAGCCTCAGTACGGTGTTCAGCAGCCTCAGACCTCATACCAGCCCGACGGTCATTATCAGCCTCCTGCGGGACCTCCTCCAGGAAAGTAAAGCGTCGCGAAGCAAGAGCAGACGCCAGAAAGCCAAAGTGAAGAGGGCCCGAAGGTGACTCTTTCACACACACAAAGAAAAAAAAAATTCACAAAGAAACACAAGAGAAAAAAGGGTATACACAGGGAATGGGATTAGTCCGGCGTTTCGGTAGGGACTGGGAGACGGTGGGAGACTGATATCCAACTTTGCTTTTTTTGCTTTAATGGGATGAGAGAGGCTATGATCCTTGATGAAACGGCATGTGCCTTGACGAATGCCTTATGCGACGGCGTTGAACTACTACTTCTTGGAGTGGCTGAAGAGCCTGAGCCAAGACTAGTACATGTCTTTTTTTCCTTATTTTCTTTTTATTTCTTTCGGCCTGGTACATTTCATTCGCATCTGATAGTCAAGTTTTAATACGCATGCTCCGAACAACGCTTCCAAATGCTGTGATGAACAGACGAAATTGTGATGCTCTCCAAGATACTCCTCACAGTGTCTACATGTAAAAATGATGCAGCCAAGACTGGCAGTGCTCGGAGGCCTCTCTGCTGCACGGCAGCGGGGATTGCGTGCCAGTCAAAGGCCTATCAGATTAGATGTCCTTGGACTTGACGCTCTGCAGATGCCGCATACTGCACATGTTTATTATTTTCTCACGGGTATTTATATACGAGTTTGTGCTTGACATTTACAGTAGAGACTGAAATAAATGCCTGGCTGTGTGAGTATTGAACTATTGAATCTCTTTTCGCATAGACAGCATCATAAAGCTTGCAACGTAAGACGCTATGTTTGGAGCATGGCAAAACTTAATTTCCGTCGACGCCAGGAACCATGGCTGCGTGTGTTGCATCTCAGAGCCCTATGTGGTTCCTTTGTTGCTGATTAAATCAGCTTCGCCTGAGGACAACAACAGCACCATTGAACGATCACGGCCAGTTCATCCGTTGATGGACAGCATCCGGACGTGATTAGGCCCCATTCATCTCTCGCTGCACGATGCAGTTCGGCGCGACAGTTGGAGAGGCTTGCGCCACATTTGCCATCACCAACATCGACGACTTGTTCGTTTTGGTCACTTTCAACGCCGAAGCAGCAACGAGTAAGGTTATCACACCTTTTCGAATAGCCCTCGGACAATTTATCGGATTTACCGTCATCATTGCTATTAGTATGATTGGGTTTGGCATTTCGCTTGTGCTGCCTCCTAAACCTATTGGGTTTCTTGGTCTACTGCCTATCCTTCTTGGAATATGGAAGTTTTGTCACCTTTTCTTCCCAGAGTCTGAGGAGCACACTGAGATTAGCACTGCGGCTTTGATGAAGGGTATATTGAAAGTCGCGCTTATTACGATAATGAATGGCGGTGACAATATCGGCACGTACATTCCGTTGTTTGCGCAAGTCGAAAGGGCGGCAATCGCAGTATACGTTGTCGTGTATTACATCTTGCTTGCTGTATGGTGTTTGGCTGCCTCTCTCGTCATGAGGCAAAGACATGTTCTAGCGCTCGTGCAGAAATACATTGATTACGTTATACCGCTGCTCTATACTGGCTTAGGCATATTCATCATTGTCAAGTCTGATTGCTATCCGTGGACTATTCAACAGATTAATGATTCGACCGCGTCGGATCCGGGACAGGGGACTATGGCTGGTGTGACTACGTTTATTCTTTTGGCGGCGGGGTGTGCGATGGCGTGGGCTACAGTGGCGAAAAGAAAGACTCAGAGTACGGTGGACATTGATCTTGCTAGAACAGATGGCACACCATTGGAAGCTGTTACTAGAGATGCGGATGCAGATGCTCATTGAGAGGCGAAAACTTGTTACGATCTCATACCTAGGTAGTTAGCTTCAAGGAAGACGAGGAGGCTAAATGATTGACAGCCGCAGTGTACTAGCCACATTACGCCACGGAACTACCTATCCGTGTGAAAGACTTCGAAGGCTCTCTTTATAATGAAGCCCGGATACGGATTTCAAGTATGGCCTGATGTCTCTACCGCACTCAATACCCATCTTTTACGCTTATTCCAAATTTTAATACTAGAGTTAGGCACCTGCATGTCCCAACCCACATTGCAGTGTATTTGGTGGCACTGGGAGCCTATTCTTATGATAGTGGAACTGCTGCAGGGGAAGACTGTGGCTTTTTTTTTTCAGGTTGTCTTTCTTTTCTTTTTTACAGCCCGTTCGAGACCTTTTTGACACATTCTAATAGGCTGGCCATGGGACGTGCGTGCCCAAGAATAGCCCGGGTCAGCGGGCCGTGAACAGCTAAGGGCTGGAGGCTGAGAGCTGAGAATCCAGGGAGCGAAGAGGCTGAGAAATGGTGAGCTGCAAGGAAACAAAGGAGCATGAAACGAAAAAAAGCAAATCACAATTTGCATAGAACAAAAGGAGGGAGAATGCATATGGTACTGTACTCTTACTCGTATGTTCAACGGAAGAATTGGTACAGTACCCAGAAAAGGAAAGGAAAGAAAGAAAAAAAAGAAAGGAAAAAAGAGGGTCTTGACTGTCAATCCCCACGACGTTGATGCTAGCGGCCCCCATTGCGAATTGGGATCCTCTTGTCCCAATTACCGTTCTTGGCGCAAGGCCAGATTTTGACGAGGCAAGGGGAGACGATCCGTGACCCGGTTCATTGTCCTTTTCTTTTATTCATGCTGGTGCGATGACGTTGATTGATGTGCGTCCCTTTTTTTGCTTTTGTCGATGCTTATTTTACGTGATGACTGGTGGAACTCTTGCTTTTTTTCCTCTAAGAAGACGGGCTGAAAGCTCGGGCACAGGCGCACGGGTCGAGATTACGAGAGCTTCCGGGTCGGGTACCTGACTTCAGTGGACGCCAGCGATACAGTAGCGTGCTGGGGCTGCTTAGTGCGAGTACCTGTACCTGTACAGCCTGTACAGCCTCCAGTTAGTGCTTTGAACCTCCACTGTAAGAAGCCCCAAAGTATCCAGTACGGGGCATCGCCGACGTCCCCAGCCCGCCTGACAGGTACCGGTACCTCCGCGGCTCCTTCCCCTGCAAGGCACGTTCCCAGCTCCCTGCATTGCATATGCGTGATAAACGGCTGGAGCGACAGGTGCCCCTTCCCATGCCGGACATGCGGCACGATGCCCGTGGCCTCCCTCCAGATTAATTTTCTTTTTTCTCTCTCCCCTGCGCTTTTGTCTTTTGGAAACCTTCTTGTTGGATCTTTTTCTTCCTTTTCACACTCTCTCTCCCCCAACATCTTCGTCGCCTCCTCCCAGGCTTCGTTCATTCTTTCTGTTTTCTCGGGCCCCTGCACCAACGGCCACGTTCATTCTTTTTTTAGGAACTGGATTTTTTGTCCTTGTTTCCGCCCCTCATTTCATCGTTACTGGGAAGGGAGGATTTGAAAGAAGAAACGACGACACCTTGACGGTATTACTAGCACAACGACGCACAACATCCTGAACGCGCGCGCGCTAAATCGACCCGAGCTTTTTCGTCAGCGTTTCTGTTGGATACGACTGCCTCTCCGTCTCGACGAGCGACGTTTTTTTGTTGCACAGCCCTTCTCTGCAGATTCACCTCAAAGTTTCGCAATTTACGCGCGGGCCTCTGTAGCCAATCCTTCATTTTTCGGCGGTTTCGGACCACCTTCATACGATCCTTGCTTTTGCGGAGAGGAACTGTGTCACGTCTGTGCTACGACACCTCTAGCGAGTTTTCGCCAGGGGTAACATTCACGTTCATATCGCTGTTGTAACAGACTACACAGCGTGCGACGCCATTCTTTGTTTGTTTTTTGACCAGAAACATCTTTTGATTCTGCAGTTCTGCGACACCGGTGGTGGTTTGTGGAATTTACAAGTCGCCCATCTGTTTAGATTTACGACTCTTTTCTATACTTCAGAGCATACTGTTTTTTTTTTTTTTTTTTTTTATATATATATTTCGACTCGCGAGAACATAGCACATCATCTGCATTATCACATCGATTAACGCATCAAATCCGATATCGAAAAGACCGAGCCGCTTTTGTGCTGCTAATTTCGCTTCCAAGACTCGCCAATTGGAGCATGACTTAGACACCCGTTCGCCAAAGACGACATCCATTTCGAGCTGCAGGTACTACCAACCTTATTTATACTCGACTACATCCAGAATCAATCACACCATATACATCAAAGACGCCAGTCGAAACATACACGATGCCTTCGGTCGATGTTGCCATGGTCCGAAGCCTTCGTGGCGGGCTGTGGGAGACCGTGGTGGACACTGTTGCAAGGAGCCTTGCTGCCCAGGTTATAAAACGAGACCTTATCTCCGATAGTGAGAACAAAGCCTCGGAAATCAAGCAAGCCTTTTCCAGCTGGGATGGCTGCATGGCTCACGTCTATTGCAAGTAAGTTGAACAGCTTCAGCATCCCATGACGGATCATCCATGAAAGCCATTGCTAATCGCTCAATAGGTGGCCTGCTATTGCCCTTATGATTATCGGCGGTCTCATCCTTCTCAGCATTGTCATCTGCATTGTCCGATGCACCTGCTTGGGCATGTCCTGCTGCTGCAGCTGCTGCTACTGTCTCAAGTGTTGCGGCAACTGCTGTGGCTGCTGCGATACCCCCGGTGGAAAGCCCCACAAACATCTCGATGAACCATACAATCCCCAGCAATCTGGATACGGAGGATATCGCCAGGAGGCTCCCATGGCAGCTCATGTGCCGGCCCCCGCGCCCGCGCCAGCCTTTGTCCCGCAAGCTTCTCACGGACCTCCGCAGTACGCCGAGTTTGACGTCTCTAAGCATGATGCTGATGCCCTTCCCGCCATGCCAAGCTGGGAAACCGCCAACTCCAAGAAGATGGTACTCGAAGAGGAGGTCGAGATGGATGATTTGCCGCCGCCCAAGAAAGAGGCTCTCCCTCAACAGAATCAGGGCATGAACAGCCCCAGGTTCGGAGGACCTCAGCAGCAACAGCAGCAGCGACGACCCCCGCAACAACAGAGGGCCATGGGTCGAAATGACCCGTACAACCGCCAACAGACCACTTCCCCTGGCCAAATGAACAACTATGGCCAGCCCGCTAGCCCATACGGCGGACACGACCAAGGCTACGGTGCCCATGACCAAGGCTACGGTGCTCAAAATCAAGGATATGCTGCCCACGATCAAGGCTACGGTGCTCATGATCAGGGTTATGCCGCTCACGACCAAGGCTATGGTGCTCACGATCAAACCTATGGTGCTCACGATCAAGGCTACAACGCACACAATCAAGCCTACGGAGGACATGACCAGGCCTATGGCGCACACGACCAAGCTTACGGTGGACATGACCAAGGGTTCAACGAACATGGACAGAACTATGGCGCGCACGAACAAAACTACAATGGCCACGACCAAGGCTACGACAACCACGTGGCGGATGGATACGGTGCCCATCAACCTTATGATCATGCAGCTCCTGCCGCAGGCATGAGAATGAGCCCTGTTCACCAATCGCCTACTTCCAGCCAGAATGGATTCGGCATCCCACGACAGATGACACCAGGCCCGGCGCATATGCCGATTGCTCCTCAGGAGCTTGATGGACACACCTCACCAGACCACTATGGCGCGGATCCCAATATGCGAAAGTCTCCTGGTCCCGGCCTGAACCAAAGACAGTCCCCAGGCCCTCAGAGTGACTTTGGCATCGCCCCGCAGAACAAGCCGGTCCCTTACAGGACGTATACTCCGGCGCCGCAGAAGGCCGTAAATGAAGCTCCTGTCGCTCCTCCTCCCATCGCCAACAATGGGGGATTCGACTTTAGCTCGGGCTATTCCCGTCCTCAGACCCGAGAGGGACCCAACTACGATCGCCGCCCCAGCGAATCTCACGAGCGTGAAGACCACGAGGGATACCCAGGCTACAAGCCCTACAGCCCGTCCCCACAGAACTGGACCGGTGTCTAGAGAGCTTCTGCCAAATGATCGAATATTCATGTTTAATCCCGTTCTATCTGCATGACATGTATGTTGGTGTATCATATATTCTGAGGACATTTTTGCGTGGCGTTTTTTAAAAAGGCGAATCAGCAGCCAGATAGAGAGGTCTAGTGGTGTTTTTCTTTTTCTTTTTTATACAAGGCAAACCCTCGTGTTTCGGTGCTTGGATCATTGCTCACATGATGACGATATTGTTTTGGATATGCTCGCTTGGTTGATTTCTTTTTTACGATTCTTTGACGGGCATTGTTTGCCTTGATCTTTTTGGAGGCATGGATGATGAGCACGGCTTGGAGCTTTTGTATGTATGACGCAAAGGGACGGGAGTTTTTAACGTAACTATGATGAAGAAGAAGCTATTTACATGGATTTTTATAGAGTTTTGCTTATTATTTGTGAGATGAATTGCATTCACCAACATGGATCTATCATTGATTTGTACTATCTTGGTGCAATCCAGATGGAATTAGTTGATGGACTACCAGCTTTGGAAAGGGCTCAATGTCACATGTCTGTCACGCACGCATAAAAGGGAAAAAGAAGACTACAAGAAATAGACTAAAAAAAAGGGCAAAAAAGGCAAAAAAAGATTGTGAGAAGGAATCCTTCATCGCTTGTTATGGACGAACGGGGAATCGAACCCCGGACCTTTCCCAGGCGTGGATACCGAGCTTCCTTCAGGAGGAAGCCAGATGCTAAGGGAAAATTATACCACTAAACCATCCGCCCAGCTTAAGCTGTTCGTTGACGCCTCGGCTCGCAAACTCCGTACATGAACGGAACGGGGGTCTGTGCTTTATAGCAGCTACGTTTTGAACACCAACAGTATCTATCTATCTCTTGTTTTATGTGATGCACGGACGGACAGCGTGAGGAATGAATGAAGAAGCTCCACTGGGTGGGTGGTGCTCGTGTATTTCTCCAGAGGGGATTCTATCCTGTATAAACCGCTACTTTGACATGAAACAAGCCAGGACTGTCACAAAAATACGGGACAAAAAACAGAAAAAAAAAGGAAAACAAGAAAAAAAATCAATCGCAGCCCAAAAAAAGAAGTGCGCCCCCATAAGTCTCTTGCGCCAGAGTATGAAAATGAGCCAGTAGAGCAAAAAAGGCCCTTTCAGCAGAAAAAAAAAAAAAAGAGTCCCAAGCAATGATGGCGTTGTGTTTATATACAAAGTGTAGCTCTGTGTGTGAAAGAGGAGAGTAAGTCTCAATAAAAACAGTCGATGTTACTCTTTGGGGAACAGTTCGACTGAGACTCCGCTAGGTGGCTTAGAGGAAGACTGATTCGAGCTGCTGCCGATAATCGTCGGGGCGTCTCCGTCCACTTCGGGATCGTATTCTTCGCCAAGGTTGTTGCGCGACCGTCCGTTGATCTTGACACGGCTCTCGCTCCGGTCATCTGAGTTGGTGCCATCGGCGCTTGATCGCCTTCTTTCGTAGTCATCGTCGTCGTCGTCATGGTCCTCGGACGGGAGCATCTCGTGGTCCGTCACCTTTTGCTTGATGAAGGAGTCGATGATGTAATACTGGAGAGCGTTCATGATGAGGGGGAAGATCATCATGACGAATGCGACCTGTAGCTTTTCGTTGCCCTCTGTCCATCCAAGCGCCCAGTCGCCGACCTGCGAGATCCAGGGCATCATGATGAAGATGATGAGGACGCAGACCTTCATGCCAAACAACCCAGCAAAGTATATAAAGGACTGCTTGAGCCACCACCAGGCGTTGGGGGGGTTGCCGTAGTAGCCCGACTTGATGGACTCGACAGGCTTGCCGAGCGGTGTGAAGCTCGCCAGGGCGCTGAAGACGCGCAAGAGCACAATGAGGATGGGAATACCGACAGTAGTCTGTTTGCACAAGTTAGCGCTCGAATTCAAACAAGAGCATATTCGCGATACTGCTTACATCTATGGCCAGATTCAAGAGATAAAAGGAGCACGGGTTGGGCACGTAGTCGTCGTCGCCTCTGGCCACCAGCACCAGCCTCTCGACCACGGTGGGCTCTACCTTGATGGAGAAGCGGCCGCTGGTGAGCATCGACATGAAGATGTTGGACATGTGCACCAGCACCGACCCAAAGACCTGCTTCGAGACGTCAAAGAACCAGACCTTGACGGGCCGTCGCGGGTGCTCCCTCCAGCGCTTGTAGACCAGCGACAGCATGGCCAGGCCGCCGAGCGCCGCCTGGACCAGCAGGGCAAAGGGCCCCAGCAGCTGACACTCGCCCTGCGAGGAGTCGATGTGGAAGGGCCCCGAGGGGGAGGATGTCGCCGTGGCGGTGGCCGAGGCCAGCGTCGTTGTGAGAGTGGCCATGGCTGTGAAGATTGCGGGAGTAGGAATGTCGACTCCTATCGCCGCATCACGAGCGAGCTGCATGCCGTTGGGAAGAGCGTCGTCGAGGGAATATGAAAGAGAAAAAGGGAAGAAAAAGGCAGATATATCGCGGGTTTGCAAAGGGAAAAAAGGGTAGGACAAGGTTGGCGGATATCGCCCGAGGCTGAGTGGCGGAGCAAACGTTCAGTCGAAACTGCAAATTAGGCACGGGACAGTGATTTGGGATTGTCACGAGAGCCCTCCCAGAAGACTTTTAGTTGCCTTTTTCTTTTCTTTTTTCGGAGGGGTGCGTGCCCAGCACAACGAAAAACCGCAGCCAGTGAAGGGGGAAAAAAAAGCAAGGAAGCTCGAAAAAGGGAAAACGACGAGATTGGCCGATACGAGATGCTCAGCCGTGCTTTTGCCTCGTTGGTTACATCACTCGAGTGTCGTTGATTACCTTATTTTCGGCGCGGGTTGGGTTTATTAAGCTGCCGAGAGTACCTGGGACCGGGGCGGCTCGTATTGGGCAAGGCGCGAAACGGGGTAGGGGCTACAAAGGCGGGACGGGCCAATCATGGGCCGGCGTTTGGGATGACGGTCTCGATCTGACGGCGGCATTCCGTCCCAGGCCATCCCTGAACTGCCGGTCCAACACTTTTTCCGTATATTACAGTGACTTGTAGTGACCTGACAGCTGTGGCTTGTGGCTGTGCTTGTCCTGTGGCTTGATAGTGGTCTGGTACGAAGCGCAAAGTACCTCTCTCTCTCTCTCTTTTTGGTGGGGCAATCCGATCACCAGCGGGAAAAAGTTGGAGGCTTCTGAATTGATATCAGTCTCACGACCACGATCCCCCTCTATCTCTCCCTCTCTCGAGAACTCAATTCCCAGCTCTCCGCCCTTCTACAACCCAGCCCGCCATGTTCCGCACGCGGCTGCTACGGATGCCCCGGCAGGCATTGGGCCTGAACCTGCGCGCATCCGCCGCCAATGGCTCCAGCTTCAGCGCCAACTCCAGCTTCAACAAGATCAACGCCGCAAGAGGCCTGCACTCGGTGCCTGCGCTGCCTCATGACTTCTCCGAGGGCGTGCCCAATCTGATGAGCCCCGGCGGCTTCTCCCTTGCTTGGACAGACTACATGACCGTCACGGTGGACAAGCTCAACGCCATGATTGCCGGTAAGCAAAAATGCCTGTTATTGAACTCTTTGCTTCATATAAACTCTCTGCCCTCTCTCCCTCTCTCTCTCTAATCTCTGAACCGATACTGATGTCTTCTGTCCAGGCACCGAACTTGAAACCCACGACGTCAAGACCATCCTCCTCATGACGGCCCGCGAACCCAGCCAAGCCCCCATCTTCAACCACGCCTCCATGGCCCACAACAACCACTTCTTCTTCCAGGGCATCGCCCCCCAAGGCACCCCCATGCCCGACGAGCTGCGCCGCGAGCTCGAGGCCTCCTTCTCCTCCATCGAGTCCCTCCGCCTCGAGTTCATCGTCACCGCCTCCGCCATGTTCGGCCCCGGATTCGTCTGGCTCGTCAAGGCCGGACCGGGAGACTACCGCCTGCTGCCCACCTACCTCGCCGGGTCGCCTTACCCGGGCGCCCACTGGCGCATGCAGTCCACCGACATGAACACCGTTGGCAATGATGGCTCTGCGCGCTCGTATCTTAGGAACCAGAGCCTTGGCGCTAGGAGGAGGGTTGGGGATCTGCCTCCGGGAGGTATTGAGCTGGAGCCGCTGCTGTGTCTTAATACCTGGGAGCACGCTTGGTTGCTGGACTGGGGCATGGGTGTGGATGGAAAGGGCGGGAAGGCTGCCTATGTTGATGCTTGGTGGAAGTTGATTGACTGGGAAAAGGTGCACCAGAGGTCTGGCGTGCTGCGCCCCGAGTACATGTCAGAGACGTCTCCTTGATATGGAAACGATGAGTAAGGGGAAGATGAACAAATGAAAAAGAAAAGAGAATTCGGACGGAATAAGAAGACGGGGGAATTGGGCAACGAAAGAATAAGAGAGGGCCAAGATTAACGTATATATGTCATGCTAAGAAAGAAAAAAGGGAAACCGGTCCGCTGGGCGTACTTGATCCGAGGGGTTGGTTATTGTTGGATCAAGATGTCTGGTCGGAAGAGATGTAAGATAGTGTAAAGGTACTATATATACTTATTATGCTCTATCTGAAAACTATGAGTAGAAGTGTATCTTTTGGAGAGGCAGATTGAGTTGTCATGAGGGTGTGTTGTTGTGATGGCTTCAGAGGCGCCCTACCCTGAAATAAATATTGATTTTTGACATTTTGACAATTCGTGGCACCGTTGTCTGATTTCGCTTTTCGTGTATTATATGTTTATTCTAAGTCCAAGAGATCAAATCCATCTGATTAACACATGAAATATGGTTCGTCAAGGACTGTTTGTAAAATTCAACAAGGCTCATAGAAAACATGGGTAGCAGAGACCCCCATATAATCTATTGTCGAACGATCCAGCCAAACAATATGGCTCTACAATCACAAGCAATCAAAACTATGCACAGAATATTCAAGTAAATTTTCATATATATATATATATATATATATTTGATTGCATCATTTTCTGTAAACCAACACTTCCCCACGTCGAGTAAATCCCCAAGCCAACAACAATATTTTTCCAAAAAAATCGTTCTCATAATCCTTTGAAGGACACTTTCTAACTTATAAATAATAGGTATCATCAATCTTAGCTCTCAAAAAAAGTACAACAAAACAAATTCGCGCGTCTTTCGCTATGAAATCTTTGTTCTTTCGCTCGCCAATTTTTTGTCCTTTTGGGGGGTTTGTTTTCTGCATGAAGAGAAGAATAGGGGGTTCAGGAGAAGTATAAATAACAGCGGAGGTGGGTGCATGCAGTCTTGCTGCTTTTGGCCTCGGCGAGAGAAGGGGATATAATGGAATTGAAGGAGATTGAGAAGAGAGAGAGAAGACAGAAAAGGAAATGGTCATAATTCATTCTTCGTTATAAACAAAAGGAAAGTCATCAAAACTAAAAAGAAACAAACAGAGAAACGAAAAACAAATTGAAAAAAAAAGATTGAATATGGTATATCCTTTCATGAAAAATATGATTTAAATCATGTTACCGTTGACGCTAATCTCGAAGCCATCGCCCTTCTGCTTCAGCGCCTTGGCCAGCATAAGCTCTCGCATCCAGTCAATGCGCTCGTCACGGTTCTTGACAGCAAAATGGTGAGTCTTGCCAGTGCCGTTGACACCCTCGGCTGAGGCATTGGGCTGGAGAGAGCTGTCACGCTTGCGCAGGCGAGCTCCGTTCTTATCTTGAGGAATGAGCTGGAAGCTAAAGGCACCAACAGGATCGCTCTTGTCACGGTTGTGAGAAATAGAGACCGCCTTGAAAGCTGCGCTAAGCTTGGAAGTAGATGCGAGACTGGAGCAGGCAATAGCGTAGTCGTCAATATCGACGTACTCGAGCGTGCGATCAACCTGCTGAGCATCCTTGTGCATGTTCAGGCGGGTGCCCTTCAAGGTAAAGTAGCCGTCCTGCCATTCGTGACGAAGCAAACGCACCTTGCGCTTCTTCATGGGGCCCTGGAAGCTGACGCCGTTGGCAGGCGCTGCCTCTGGTGCCTCCTTGGAGACACCCGGGCCCATTGAAGGCATGGGAGGGATGGCCTGCTCATACGTGGTGCGGTCGACAGGTGACCAAGGATAATTGAAGCGAGGGGGGGCTTGGGTAGGTTGGGATTGTTGCTGGGGCTGCTGCTGCTGGTGTGGTCGGACTGGAGTTCTAGGAGATGCCGACCTGGGCTCAGGGGCCCTTTGATAGGTGCGAGTGGCCCGGTTCTCGTCCAAGGCGGGAAGAACAGGGAAAGACGGGCGGCGACCAGAAGCTCGCGACTGGGACCGGTTGTGGCCCACGGTAGGAGCAGCCCGGTAGTTCATATCGGGAGGCACCGACTGAGAGACGTCACGAGCAACGGGTCCAAGAGGCACGGCCGTGATCGGGACATCCATCTCGGAGAATGGAGTCCCGAATCGATAGGGGTTCTTTGCGGTTTCCAAGTCGGGAGACAATGGATCCGCCTTGTCCATCTGATATGGTACAAACTCCTGCTGCAAGGGAGAGGAGCGGCGCGACGCCTGCTGTTGCTGTTGAACGGGCTGAGATACAGGTGGTCGGGGAGGTGCCTGTCGCGCCGCGGGTTGAGAGTTTCCTGGAATGGACAGCTTTGGTAGGCGTCTCAAGCCTTGGTGAGGTTGTGCAGACGGTGTAACTTCAAAGGGGGGAGTGGGTGGCACTTCGTTGCTGCTTGGGTTGGACCTCTGAAAGTTAAGGAATTGGCGGACATTATCCTGGGGATCGCGAGTCTGCAGGTTCCGAAGGGTCGTTTCCTGAAGATACTGCAGAGGTGGCAGGCCGCCAGGGCCAAGGATGTCAGACGATGCCACAACAGACGGAACTGAATCGGAAAACGGCCGAATTGCCTCGTTAGGATCCAGGGCCCTGGCTGTGTCGGGGTTGCCTGCATCGCCATAAACGAGAACAGTCCCACTAGCCTTGTTGATGTCGATATGGGGATTCATGGCCTTGAACTCCTCAATGATCTTCTGCTGCTTCTTCCACTTTGAGCACTTCTCGCCCTTTGAACAGTTGTGCGGCTTTGGGATGACTTGTTCAATGCCAATGATGGATACAGATTCCATTGGTGTAATGGGATCGGTAGCCCGGCGGACTCTGCGCTTGCTCTCATGGCGGCGTGTCGAGCCACTGCTGTCCTTTTTCATCACCTTCCTGGCTTCACGGCTCGGTCTATCCTCAATCGGAGTCGTAGCCTGGGGCGAGGCAGGCCTGCTATCCATCAAGGCCTGGATTTGATGCCATACTCTTGTTCGAATTCCGAAAGACGAGATGCTTAGCTCCTTCAGGTCTTCAAACTTCAACGTGATCAGGATAGCACCATTGATGTCATTCTCGATGAACCTCTCCGTAATCGCCAGCTCAATACCGGCATCGAGCATTGACTGTGCCACCATCTCGGGCGTCCAAGATGCTAGCGTCGATGGGTCGAGCTCTGCATTGGTATATTGGAAGGGGCCGTTCCAGCGAGATGATCGGGCATGGGAAACAACCTCCCGAGGAACATGCGGAGTCATAGGCGACAGTGTCAACACTGCATCGTCCTCACCTGCTTGGTACCTCGAGTACTGGTCGGCAGGGAATTGGAAGAGGTGTGGGCCGCGAGGGCCTTCAACCTGCTTCGGAGAGTATTCGAGATAGAACTGCGGCACTCTACTTGAACGAGGGGTGGGGACCTCGTCGTACGAAGAGAGGGTTGTGATACTTGGCTGCCCGGACTGCGAGGACCCGATGTTAGCGTCTTGTTTCCGCTTCCGAAAAATACGGACAGGATGAAAAGGAATCCACCTACTGATTGCAGACTCACTCGGGGTGAGTTATCTTCCGCCTCGCTCACTTCATCTTCGTCGTCTTCTTCATCCCAATCCGTGTCCACAAACTCAGTGGCTACTGACGTCGGTCTAAACTGCTGCGGCTCTTGCTTGAGGTTAAAAAAGGTGTTCTGGGGAGCGGGCTTCTGGCGCATCTCCTGGTATGTGCGGCTCTCGCCGACATGGAAGGAGTTGTAGTCCTGGATAAGCTTCCAATTAGTGGCCGGCCGGGTTGGAATCTGTGCAAGCAATCCTGCTACGTACCATCCTTCTAGATGTATATACTCTTTTTGCTTAATCTTTTGCTTTCGTCCTTTTCTTCTCTTTTCTGTAAGGTGGCCTGTTTAATACATGGAAGTGGTGAGGGTAGCTTCGAGGTGCTTCGGGATAGCTTGGGAAGAGGTAGAACAAAGATCAGCAGCCGTTGCCGGCAACTTCCCTAAAGACACGGAAACAGCTGAACAATGTAACAATGTAGGTCTTCAGAGTTACGGTAGTAAAAAAGAAATGCAAGACCAAGGAGGAAATTAACAGCTCGATACGGAGTAGACGTCACCAAAACGAGACAGAGGTCGCAAAGGGGGAGGAGAATTCTGCGTCTCAGTGGGCGGCTAGCGGTTGATAAGTATTCTTCGTGAGGGCCGAAGGTCGCATCTCAGGGACCACCCGTCGAGTTCGTGCGGGCAAAAATACGCATACGCCTACAGCTGCGCGTTTGAGCAAGGGGACTCAGTCCCGGTAGTCAGCACCAGAGCTAGTCTGTAATGCGATGTGATGAGCACACCGATCCGGCTTGCAGAGTCGTTGCGGGGGACAAGAATAGCAGTCCCACAGGCCGAAAGAACGACAAGCACAGCACAGGCCCGTACGAGAACAAGGTGACACAACTGGGCGCGGTGCTAGAGTCAAAGAACTGGTTCCTATTGGCGCCTGAGGCTGGTCTTCTGCCGTGAGGGCGGCGCGAAGACGACGGGATCAATTGGACCGTCAGTCAAACACTGGCAGATGGTGTCGTTTCTTCCAGCCAGTCAATCGTCTTGGCCGCCCATGGAGGCTGCCGCACTGGTCCCATCTGTGGAGCATGTACAGGGTTGTCGAGCTTTGTGATTTGCTGTAATGATCAAGACCGTTGTCGCTGGTGCTCGTCCAAATATAGCCGGCGCTTAGGCGCCGTGATCTCTAGACTCTAGCAGCCGACTAGGATGCAGAGAGTTCGGTCCTTGTCGACAATGACGGATCATTCATGCACAAGCAAGGATCTCAGTGCAGTCTCTCTGTGCCTGTATGCACGGAGCATGGGAAGCGGGCTTCCAGTTGCTGCGAGAAACAGAAGCACTCAAGACAGACGAGAGAAGGGAGGCAAGGGGGCCGAAAAGGCTTCGTCCATCTTGCTTCCGTCCTGGCCCTGCACTCATGCATCCCCGCCCCGTCTCGCAGGTGGTTGAATGTCTGCTACGACATCACTTGCTTAAAAGTGTAAGTGCTCCGTAACCTTGCAAATCCAAATCTCGGTGACCCAACACATCAAAGGTGACACTCTGTCACTCAACACATGTAAACACCGACCCGAGCGTCTCCTCCGTCAGCATCACGAAGCCCCATCAACTGCAAATCAAGCAAGGGCAAGGCAAGGACCTCACAAAAGCCACTCCGTAAACTGGCGGTGGAATATCAGATGCCGTCATTGTGGCCTCGTGACTCAACGAAATCTTTCCCTCGCAGGCCAAGCGAGAATAGAAGGGTGAAAAAAAAAAACCAAACGGCTCCATCTTGGGACCCGTCTTGGAGCCCAAGATTATTTTTTTTTTCCCTTCTCCAGCCTCCGATCAACAAAGTACTCTTTCGTGCAGTAGTCGGTGAGGCCGGCTAGCCTTCTAGGCGTAAATCGGCCGGCCGGTGGCTTGAGACTGTCTCAGCTGCCATGTTTGTAAACGGTCACGCTCGAGGCCGAGAATCCTTTGACCGTTGACCGTTCCCACTTCTGCATGTCTTTGGCGTCTTGATCTCCCGTGTAAGTGCGAACGGCAAGAGTGCATATGTGTTGGTTCTGTCATTGTGATAGACCCCACAGTCGGCCACCAACCGGCCACGGCTTCTCTGGGCGCTACTCTGATAATCATTAACGCTTGCATGCTTGCCTCTTTGGGCAATTGAAGAATAAGTGTTAGGTGATGAACGGGCGAGAGATAGAAAATCCCCAGCCCGCGATCATCACATCACATTGTTGGCTCTGTGATGACCTCGGGCGAGCTAGTGGGACGGTCCGGCTCATAATGACTTTGGCTAATCTCATCACACGGGACTGATGTGGCGGCAACGGGAGGCGCAGGTTTGAGACATGGCAGCATTGGAGCATACCAGACCAGCACGGGCATCAGTACCAGAACACAAGCTGTTGAACCAGTCGAGGCCTTGTTCGGTCTGCTTCGGTCTGCTTCGATCTGTAGGGAAGGGTCCGTCTATGCTTGCCTCTGCTTGCTCACCCTTGTTGCGGTGACGTGAATTCGCGATGCTGAGCAGGCAAGTCTCGGCTGTCGGCTTCCCAATGCTAGCACAATGACGACTGAACGAAGCACAGATGATGATAATGGTTAAGATGCTGCTCGGCCGCACGGCGGTCAATCTCGATAGGCCGAATCTTACACAATAGCTTCCATGTGCGGCGCCGCTCGCGCATAATGAGGATCTGGAGCTTGCGCAACCTTGATCACGGCCGGCCGACGACCTAGTTCTCTAGCAGCTGGGCTCTATCAGAAGCAAGCTATCCCCCAAACCCTGCAAGCCACCGCCGGCCGTGATAGGGCAGACGGGTATCACGACAACGTCGCTGGGATGCTAGATAGACTAGCGACCTCGGTCAAGCAGCGAGATGCGACGTGACACCAGGACAAAGGGAGCCGATCTTTTCTCTCGGAATCGAGCCAGCCTCCCAGCCGCTACCCCACATCGTATACGGCGGGAAAACAGAAGCAGAGGCTCCAATTGGCGATAAGCAGCAAGATTGATGAGGGAAAAAAAAAGAACCTTGAAAGAGACAAAGAGAGAGACCAGACAGAGCCTGTGGGAGACACAGAAATGGG